AAAGCAGTTGCCTAGGTGACGATGACGTAATCGTTTACTAGGAATAAAATAGAATTGATTAACAAACCGGTCTCTCACTGGCCACAGTTCAATTAAGAACAAATGACCTATTAATATTGACATCTGGTTCGGCTCAATTGATTTGACATCACTTTGATAATTGTCTAATTAATTTGGAGGATAAAAGTTATGTTCTTCTAAATAAATATTATTTAGTCCCACTTAGGTTTGAAGTGAAGACAAACTTCTTTAGAACATCAGGCCAACAGCAAAGCCAGTATGAAGTATAATGCGCATGTAAAATTAACAAAAGTAAAACAATGTAAAGCACACAATATTAACGAAACCGGTGTGGCCTATAAGAATGTAAGTATCGTGTATATTTAAACTCGTTTGATCGGGTTTAAAACAAGTATGTTTAAACAGGATTATTTGTCCATGAAAGGAACCTACCAACACTAACATATTACTCATCAACAGAAAAAACTTAAGAATTAAGTATGAACAAAAATTCAAGTTTTAACTTGAAGGCTCTGGGTACCCCATTTTATGTGTTATTCTTCACAAAATAGAATTTAAATCCCTGGAACGAATACACGAATTACTCCATTAACGCTCTTTAAATAAAAGCCTTTAAATATATTCTTTTAATCTCGCACATCAAAGGGTTGTTTACTCCGAGCGTATTTAGGACACCACTTCTCTCTACCACCTTTTAAAATATTGACTTTTTGGAGTTTTAGATACTAAATATTTTAGCGTAGGGTAAGGGTCGGTTCAGATTCAAATTAAACAAATTAGCACCTACGCTTTTACTAACTACAGCAATTTGATGCATTAACTTTATTAAGTTATACATTATAGTTTTCTATATATCGTCCCAATAGGGACGATATACAGAAACTTTTCTGGAATTCGTGAAGTTGAGAAAACAAAATGGCTGGTTACAGGAACAATACACCAGCTCCAGCTACGAACACTTTAAGTAGCCTGTGAATGATTTTAATACTGCTAAATATGATTGAAACTACTGTTTTCATGTTTGATATTCTCAGTAGAAAGTAAAAGACACCTGTGCTCGAAACCAGTGTTCAAAACGCGTAGGTAATCTAAACAAATTATCTTTCATGTGGCGTATAGTTGTGTGAAGTTGGTCTGGCGTCTCTCACTCGGCGGGAGAGCAGGCGAATAGCGATGCAGTGGTATAAAGATATGTCGTCTATTTATAACAGACGAGTAATGCAGGCGTGCGGACGCATCACAGAACAACTTGGCTTTTGTCGTGTATCTTGATTTTGAATGTTTTGTATTATACCTGAAGTTATACTACAGAATGCAGATACTACAGAAATCTGCCAGTCATCGTACTCAGTGCATTATCTTTAGTCAAGTCAAGTCATTGTCCGTTACACTGATAAGAGGAATTGAACTCGTAAACTAAAGTATTGCAAGGACAAACTTTAATAATGAGATCACATGTGTAGTTAATAACGAGCTCTCATTATGTGTGAAGTTGCCAATTTCAATAACTGATTACGCAACACACGCAACGAGCGAGATATTTATAGGTGTTTTATAATTAGAGGGGCTACATCACACAGGCTCGGTGGCCGAATAAAATATGGTAAATAAAATTTTACAGAATATTAAACACCGACCTATGTTATATACACGAGTTTTAGGAAGTAGTGGTCTAGTTATATCTTGTTAAATTTAATGGGGAGATTGTGGCTAAGTAGTTTGTGAATTAATGAATCTTAACAGTTGATAGAGTTATTAGTTTGAGTAAAATATATTCAATTTTTTTAAACAGAACTGTAACTCCCAAAGTATTGGCCAGGCAAAATAACAAAGAGAATTCAAGATCAATTAAAAACTTTTTGTTGATCGTAATAAAGAATTATTACTCGTAAGACAAAATGCGACACATTACTGCGTAGTTATGCTACCAGTTCTTACGTTTCGATTTAATTGAATTAAAATTTTATTACTTTTAATATTCGACTTATTTGTAATTTAAAAAAAGTGGTTACATTTTTATTGCAATTCTTAATATTACACAGGTTGTTATTTTTATGACAATGAAGCACTTTTGTAACTAGTTATCAACATAATATCTTGAATAAGCAAATATTTTGGTACGAGTGTCGGGTAAGAACGTGAAATGTAAGTAAAGCGCTACATATTTGTGATACCTACATAGATTTATTAATCTCCCTGACCACTTAGGTAACAGTCTTCTTTGAAAGTAACTATAACTTCATATCACTCAGTTTTTATACTTGGTTATATCATTTAATTTTCATAGTTATTGAAGTATGTGTAGTAACCTACCCAAACCTGCTTGCGTATCTATGCTGAGTTATCTCAAAATAGACGAAATATCCCACTGGCTTTGTTGGCCTTATTGCGTTAAGATCAAAGAACGCGATTTCGAAAGATGTTCCAATGAGAACACATGACGGAAGAAAGCCTCAAATCCGAGAATTTTATAAGTTACATGAAGTTAATGTTGATTAAATCCTATACAGCTCACTGGGAGCCCAAAAATCTAATATGAAGATTTCGTCTAATATTGCTACCAACTTACTAGCCCATAATAATAAAGATTGGAGTAAGGGACAAGTCAAATGGTATCATTAACATTCAAATCGGAATTCCTTTTTTTTTCAAGTAAAAATTGGGGCTTAAAAACTTTACCATGTCTAATAACTTTTTTTTTTTATTTCTTCCAAAAACTGATTGGGCCGAGTCGACACAGCCAGCGGTGCGTACGGACGGTGCATCGAACGCGGTGAGAGCGGGGTCGTTGAACCTCGCGCCATGTGCATTTAGATTTGTACAGTTTTACACCTAATTGCAATTTTGAACTAATTAAATTGCGAATAATGATTGTTCATTATTTTCTCGTATTTCATGCAACAGCTAAATTGTAGCATTTGCAATGAATTGTGTGTTTTGATCATAGTATATTATTTTATCTAGGTACCTATTTTTTTAAACTAAATTTCTAGGTCATTAATTTTCTGACACACAAGCTATAAAAATAAAGAAAAAATGGCTTAAAATGGTATATCTTTGCCTAATTGACTTTAAGCAGAGGCAGACGTAATATTCTTCTACATATAAATTAAATCTGCTCCTTTCATTACGACTTTACGAGGGTGTGATGAAGACTGATGCCTCATACTACCTTTTCTTTTATCTTATAAAAGAGCACTCATGTCTCAAATTATGTTCTTGAACAAAGAACACGACTAAGTTTACCTACGTTTTATTTACGATTATTTGAGAAAGATCTCTGAGTAAAAGGTTGCTGCTATCATGTACCTATGTATTTGCAACAGTCGATTTTAAACTTGACAAAAATATTAATATAAATTCGTACTTGACTTCCCTGTTATTTCAAAGTATAAAATAAACAGCAGTCGGCAGTAAGAATGCTATCGATTTAGATAAAAATGCAGTGGTACTTAGAAATTAACTAACGTACTTTGTCTTCTGTTTACTATGCTTTATGCTAAAGGTCAATTAAGTGAACTAACTTATTAAGTTAGCTTCTGTCTGTCATTGAGCTATTTAACAATGCAGTACTTAGTTTTATCGTATTTGCAATTAATATAAAAAGGTAGATTAGGTACTTCGTGGATACTTCTTTCGATTAAAGGTCTGTTTCACAATGTATTTTTAACACATTCCCTGTGGAACATTACAGAATAAATTAGTTTTTAACTCGTCGAGTACCGGATTTATAGACACAATTAAAGAACAATAGGTCGCGGTCACCGGTGACCGCTTGGTGTTTGACAGTTTTAAACAAATATTATTGGTAATTCATTAATGTGTGCAGTGTCGCAGATATCTGCTCATTAATATGAGATCCTGGTGTGACTTTGGCTTGAAACTAGAGGAGTTTCTTGTCAAACAGTTAGGTGGTACAATAAATAATTTAGTACTTTCATGAAAGTTATACAAAATAAATATTGGTAGGTACCTAATTATCTTTGGAACAATCATTGTTTGTCACAGTACCATAATAAGAGAGTAGTTCTAGTATTTACCTTGGTATCTTAATGCATAAAAGAAAGTCTTTTGATTTTTGATGCATTATTATTAGGTAGTAAGGTAGTATCATAATACCGAATAGCAACAATGAACACACACGTCGTGTCCGTGTCTATCTCACTGTATGTAACTTGACAAACAAAAGAGTACCTAAGTAACTACATAATTAGGTAGCTTATGCATTATCGACTCGATTTTGTACATTACAGTTAATAATAATTAATGTAGTCTTGCTTTCCTATCGAAGTAAGACCTTTAATCGAAGTAGGTAGCTCTAAAAGAAGCGAACCTTCTTTAATCATATCCATGTAATGAATGTTTTAGCTTCATATAAATATACATGTAGATATACATACATATAGCAGCTGTATAAGTAGGTAGATATATACAATATAAGGGCCGCAATATTCCAGGGTTTACAAGTCCCAGGCCCTTCCCAACTGCCCGTACCGGGAGCCCTTTCGTGATACCCCCCCTCCACCCTACTCCTCCCGCGCTTGTAGGACGAAATGTACCTACATAGCTAAGCACAGATATAATACCTACCTACTTTATGAAATACCTACTTACATTTTCTGCGTATTTTGTACACCAATATGCATTCATCATCTATGAAGGTCAAGTAGAAATTATAGAAACAAACAGCAATCACAGCAAGTAAAATACTAATAAATTTTCTTGGCATTGATTCGCATTTTACGACATTGATAACATCTTCTGAAGTTGGCTATGAAAAGCAATGAGATTATGGAAAGTAGCCAATGAAGTTTTATTCTCAATAAGTTACCCATAGCGCAGCACGAAAAAACCGCGCAACTTGCCGGTCAGTTCGAACCGCGTAATTAGTTTTTTAATTAAACAGCGAAATTATCAAAAGATATGAATGAAACTCCTTGTTATTTTCATCGAATATACCATTATATATTTATTTTTACCTGAAGCTCCTTATTCTTGTTATCTTTGAGCGATGCTGCTCTGATAATACCAGCTTTCCATCCCCATTCAGAAACTTTATTCACGTTAATTTTTGTCACACCACTCACAGCGAGAAATCGTTTGCCAACTAAATCTTCACGGTACTTATAAGCCATAACGAACTACACAATCACATTATTCACATTAAAAACTACACAAACGTCAAGAAACTCAGCGTTATACGCACCACACGTCACACTCTTCGTTGAGCGAAGGGAAACTACGTGGAAAACACAAGAAACGTTTCTGCGGAACGTACATTTTATCCGACTCAATATAAAACACCTCGCTCTCTACGGGAGGTGTTCTGTTGCAAAGTCATCTACAATCGGTAGTACTTTATCGAAACTTGTTATAAGCCGACCAGAACAAATAGTCATACGGATGTAGAGAACGATTGTTAAAATTAAGAGCGTCTGAATTTGTTCGTCTTGCATTCTCATTTTACAAGGACGTAGTATTTACGTTTTAGTTCATAACAATATCAATAGAGGGCGGATTTTCATTGTTATATTTTTTGAACACACTTATTTACCTTGTAGCGTTTACAAAAATATGTTATGTGCAGTATTATGACTATTTCAATTACACATTTTTATAGCAATCTAGCTAATTTGTTAAAATAAATAAATATTATTTTAACTACGTGGCTGCTTCGTAATCTTCAGATAGAAAAAAACAGCAGTAGGTGCTAAAAGCGAAAACCACAAACTTCGTAACGCGGTACTAACATTAATATTATTCACACTATTTATAAAAAAATATATTTACTGTGAATATTTTTTTTTCAGTAGATATTCCATAGATGGCGTTAAACTTGATTCTGTTACAATGTGTATAATTTTAACTCAAGAAATAAAATATATAAATGATTTATATATAAGTATATTATGCAACAAAATTTTATTATAAATCTTATAATAAATTAATTCTTAACTATTATTTTACTACCTATTTTTGTTTCAGACCACACTTTGAAGCCATATTGATTTGGGCGATCACGTGATCAAAACAACTGTCAATTCAATATCATCATGGCGCACTAGACTTTTCATCGGGCGGTTGTGTTTTGCTATGTTTTGTATTGTGATAATTTGAGAGTGAATTTTCATGTGTTACTATTAATATGATATCGTCGATAATTTCTCGACTGGTTATGTAAGTATACATTTTAACTCACCACAGTTGCTATATTTTACGTCGAAAATTATTTTTGACTGCTTACTCCTTTGTTTGAAAAATGAAAAAAATATTAATTAATAATTTCCTGCGTCAGTTGGTTGTTATACTACGAGAACAAAAGCTCATTTTGATGAACCTTACTTATTACGACATGATAAATAAAAATTTGTTCACGTTCACCGTTTAAAATTGAATCGTCATCAAGCATATTGCTTGTTTTATTTTTTCTTTAGTTTCCGTCGATGTAATAACAAAAAGAAGTGTTACATGGCTCGAAATATGACCTGATTGATTACATTGTCTGGGGTTTTCTCTATATTCGTCAAAAACTTTTATTTCCGAGGTGATTTCATTCTACACAAAATGTGTAAAACGTAATTCCATCATTCATGTTGCACAGATTGTTCCAATGAACTGATACTTTAAAAACAATACGCAACAAGAAAATAACATTAAATATTACCTCACTTGTTTCGTCCTTGCCTCTTTGTTGACCTTCTGACCTATTCTTATAGGTCAAATCATTCAGGTCCTGTTATAAAACAAAATACAATGCCAGCAATTTATCATACCTATATGAGTTTCGTTTATAAACCTACTTTAATAATGCTACACCTATTAGTTTTATATCTAATTATATGAACACAAAATGTAGTTAATTCTAATCAGCCCCAATATCAGTAATTTTAGAAATGATTGGAAAAGTTGATGTTTTTTTGATGCTATTTTCTTGCAATCATATTTCCTAGTGTGATTCAAAAGAGATATGAAATGGATATGCGAGTTGAAGTTTGGATATTAAAAAAATTACTGGTTACATATATTTATAATGGTGATCAGTACTAATTACTACTTATTTCTCTTATTATCATCCTCGGCTCTGACAAGGTCTCATTGGTTGTATAATAATTTAATTCCCGAAAGGTTACAAGCAGAGGTGCACATTAATAATATCAATTTAATAAACCTTTACTTTTATGCAGTTATGTTGAAAGGCTCATGTAATAGGCGTAGGGCCTTGCATTTGATTTATCCTTGTATTTCCGTGCAATATGTACATTGTATAATTCTATATTTACTGGATATACTTAGTTATTAGTTAAGTTATGATGTTTTTATGGGGTCTAAAATAGAGTTCAGTAACCCAGCAATGGAATAACTGACACCATGTTACGTTTTTATTTCAATTCTGTATACTTAATACAAAATTAATTATTATGTTACAGAATGTCAGCTTTGTAATCAGCAATTATTATTTGAGGTGTAATTAAACTGTCAAACACCAAGCGGTCACCGGTGACCGCGACCTATTGTTCTTTAATTGTGTCTATAAAACCGGTACTCGACGAGTTAATAAATAGGTTAATCAATTTAAAAACAATCACCAAACCACAGTAATGTTATCAAAACCAAACATTAGCTTCTACTCTCTAAATACTTAGGTAAGCTATGCTTCTTGTAATAGCTATTGTTGTAGATACTTGATTCATACCGTTTAAGAGTAGAATTAATTCACATTAGCTATTTGGCTAATCAAGTATTTTTATTACCTTTGGATTGCAAGTTAGCGAGTGTAACTAACATTTCAGATCAAGAATTTGTGATTCACAGTTTTACTAACTGCTCACTCTTCTAGAGTACAACTTAATATGATAAGAGGTCACAAGCGTGATTGGACCCACAAGCAGTCTCTTATTCTTTTTATTCTTAGTTCTGGGTTAGAGAGAATAGTATAACATGTTCTTTGTATGGTTTTTGGGGCATCTATAACAGGCGAAAATTGGATCTTACATTTAGTTATGCACCTCTGCCTTTTTATTGCACAAAAAAGCACACAGCGAGAGCATTGTGGGTCGAGTTGTTATAAAATACAATAACAACAGTTAGCAATTGTTTGAATGTTCAAATTAGCTGTCAGTGTAAAATATAGTTCAATACTGGCAATGTTCCAATAATCTTGAGTTTAGGAGCGCCAGCTATCCCAAAATTTGGCAACACTTTAAGACTTGTGTTCGTCTTTTATCATTCTTTTCACCTTCAGACGTAAACTAGCTTGCTTAAAGAATAGTTGTGTTTTCTGGATCAAGTTCCAATTTCATCAGTTCATCAGATATTTTGAGATTATTTACTCATTTGGGTGCAAGTGGAGTACATTTGTAACTGAACACGTGGTGACGCATTAAACAAAGAAAAGTTAAGCTTCGTTGCGGAATTCGTCACTAGGGTATCCCAGTGCACTGCCGGGTGCTATTTTCGGCTAAGCTCGGCCGTTCGCCTCTGGTGCAGCGAAGAGGAGATTTAGTCTGTGGCGTTCACGGCTTGCGTCCGCGTCGCTGTTCTATGCAACAAGTGAAGTGCGTTGACACCTAACTGTAGAGTGATTCATTTATCGACATTCGGTCTTGAGTTATTAGTGTCTGTTCCGAGTGCGCTCAATCTGTTGACTGTTCGCGCTGTCAGGAGGTCGTATACCTTGACTGCGCCACGTTATGTGCTTATTAAGAGCTCTTGTCTTACCTTTTTAGGAACAGCCTCGGCTGAATTACGCGTACCTTTACCCAGTTTTGCTGGTGACATATTTTTTGTACATAATATTTAAATGTCTTCGCGTACGAAACTTGACATAAGAATAACTATTTATTACGAGAATCATGTTGTTGTGGTTTATATTTAACTAACGGTATGTAAATGCTACATTAACTTGAATGTAAGTTCCTGTAAATATAGTAATGAATTGTACCCTGTGTTTATTTTGAAAGCCTTGCGACATGTTTGTAATGCGACACGGCAAGTAACATAAGAGAGCACGAAATCCTTCAGAAACAGGATAATGTTCCCTTTTCTATTTTACAACTGGTTTGAAGCCCAAGCTTTACGGTGCAATATGTTTGAATTTTTGTTAATAAAATCTTAATGTAATTTTACATACTGAATGAGTGAAGCATACAGTTCATACAGATAGTAAATGGGTTACTGTACCAAAATAACTGTGGCATAATTTACTCGACTTACTTTTGCCGATCGGTCGTCTAGCACTAGCACCTTGTACAGCATTTCAATAAAACAGTATAAAGTAAATATTTATCAAATAAAAACCGCCTGTGTACCTACTTGCTTACCAAGTTACGTGTTTTGATATATATTACGTACAAACTAGAATTGTTAATGTGTTACTCAATTTATTAGCTATAAACTAGGTATTTTGATACATGTTTAGTTTTATATTTATTCACTGATTTTTAGATTAAAAGTATTTTTCGAGTTACATTCTAGCTAAATCATGTGGGTAGTTTCTATCTTACCACATTTGACAACCATCTGATCTCAACAGACAAAGATTTCTTACCATTTATAGAATTGACATTGTCCATTTTTATGTCACTGCAAACCACGAACTGAGGCCATATTTGGCGGTTTTATACTGAAGATTTGAATATTAAAAGTCATTCATTCAGATTCTATAGAATTCGTGGTAATAAAGTACTGCTAGAGGAGTGTTTTCAACAAACGCCGAAGTAGGTACTTGCTTAGCTACCTAATTTAAAATTGTAATGAACCAATGGCACGCTTGACCGATTCTTACAATATACAGGAAGTTTACATATCGCTAGGGCCATTTACGCAAACTTGTATATGGTTGGATATAATTTGATAAGATGCAAAGACAGTATTACGATGAGTGTTTACATAGTGAGATCTCAACGATGACGTAAAGCGACTGAAATGCACATAAAGAACGAAACGATCCACCTGGTTGTCTAAATACTACGATTTCAGAGACATGGTTTATTGTGTATTTGTTTATAACTGTAATAGGGAAAATTCTAAAATTAAAAACGAGTTCATCTGGTCACGTTGCGCGGGGCATGTTCTCAACTGTATAGATCCATAGAGACATGAAATCCAAGAGCAAAATAAGACACAAAGTTACTTAACTGAATAAGATCTCTCTGATTAGGGCTATTCCACTACAAATTGCTACAATTTTTAATGCAAAAAGTAAGAATACATTATGTTCTAAATTGTTTCCAAACAATGAATGAAAAAGCAATACCCGTTATCCAATACGCCTAATCATAACCCACTCCGGCCACGCTCAACTGACTGTTACATCGACCCTGAAGAACATACTGATGTGCACGATACGATGCGCATGCGCACACTCCTTATTTAGTCCACCAATAGCCGCTCACGATCGATAGAAAGGATCATGCCGTTTCATTATCGGTATAACAGGATGCATTCCAATAAAACGTGATTTGAATATGGGAAGCTAGAAACCGGTTTCCATAAAATAAACCATAGGCCGGAATCAAAACAACCTGCTCTGATTTTATTACTTTTTTTAAAGACTTCTAAAACCAGATGTTTATTTCGTTCTTATATCAAATTATACAGGTCTATTCGATGACTAAATATCCACGACAAAGAAGTTCGGTATAATGATTCATAACTCATTTATAAGAATAGATAACCTTTTGTGTAAAGCCCACAAGGGTATAATTTGTTCTGCGATGCACAGCACAATGCAAAATACAAGTAACAAGTAGATACGATTTAGCCTTGCAAACTCAACGTAGGGTTGCTAAACGTTGATGTGTACTGCTGATTGGATTAATAGTAGTGTGTTTTTACGCTTTACTTATGCTGTAGCATGTGTATTGTGTGTATGCCAACCCTGAAGTTAAAACTGAACAAAGGTTTCTAACTAATATATCGCGTGAGATGTTCGGATGCACTACTCGGTATTAGAGGTTCTTGACCTATATGCGTGGTGTTTATTTATGTTACTAATAATGTTTGTTAATATTTAACATAGTAGTATAAATAGCTTATCAAAAATGTTTAAAAATTAAAACTAATAAATACTAATTTCGATTGAATAATTTTATTCGATTTTCTATAAAAGGCATAATACCATTATAGATAACTTCTATTACTTAAATAAAGACGTTACGCCCACTTTATTATCAGAATTCAAAGATTGAACTAAATATTTCGACATTCAGGAAACAAATTGGTAGCCGATTTTCACAGTTGATCGAATGTAACGCATCATTCGTTTGTTGCATTTGTGTAATAATTTCTAGTAATGCTCCCGGGTCTAATTTGTAAATCGATTTTTGTGAAACGAATCTTATTACATCTGGTTAGTCTTTTTGGGATAGGCCAAGATCGCCTGATCAAGCGAAATAATTGAATGTTGCGCAATGCAACTTTCTGAGCGAATAAATTGTAAGGTCACTAGGTCTCCTGTGGACATTGAATTTACTTCAATACCGAGTTCTTAAACAGTTTTATTACTCATCTTGAAAAGTAGAACCTTTTTCAGGTGACTTTATTAGCTTCTTAGATAGGTCATTGAAACCGAATTCGGTTCGATTACCTACTCCAGTTCCCATTATCCAATATACATATTTTTTACGCCTACGTGCTCTTATGCGAGGTTCGTAAAACGGAATATGAACTTTTGCTTTACGACACAGCAAGTTGGCTTTTGCAGTTCTCTTCGGAAGGGCATGGCCGTACAATACACATGCTTTGGCAACAGCTACAGTTTTAGACCAAATGGGTCGAGTTTCTTGCCTATTTTATTTTAGGACGTTATTAGGGAGTTGTGAAACTGAACCATGTGCGTGCGTGTTCGTTTCGCACGCATGATGATCTAGTTTTATCCACATTTAGTGTTCCACTTCGCCTGATACGAAACAGATACATTCCTTGTACATTTCCGATTTTGAAATAATATAAATGCATTCATGCTGCGGTGAATGGAAACTTGAATAAATTGTCGTTTGATCATACAAAAGAGACGTTATTATTAAATAATAACTGTTATTTAAACAATTGACAATTATGGTATAAGCATACTCACCATTTTCAAGAATAATTTATGAAGACATTAAAATTTTGCATAACACATGTGATTTATGAATATCATTATTCCGTCAATGGTAACATAGCTTCAGCTTCCCTCACGTGGGTGGATTTTCTGGAGAATGACATCACACGATTACTTAAATGGATGTTCATTGTTGTACCCAATGAGTGTTGCGAAACTTGCATTATCTTGTCTTTCTTCAGTGTAAAAATATTTTTAAATCATTTACGAGTCACCAGGTTTATTATTTATCAAACCAGTGCTTAAACTGACATTGTTTCGTCTATTACCGATAGGGAAAATTATCTAATCTCATTCTCAATTGACAACTAATCTAACTAGAGGGTACAAATGGTGCACCGTGGACCAGTTTTTTTATCTTAATAGCCGTAGATAGTGTATGGACGGGAAAAACTTTAATATTCTACATGTCCTTTGTGATAATATAAAACACAATACTGATTGTTGGTCCAGACTATACTTGGACATATCCGCAGGTAGATGTAGACCTATCCACGTATACACAATATGGCAGTCGAGTGCAATTGTGTTTATTTTTAAAGTCGTCCAGTGTAATAGGAATCTTGATATGCTATCAGTCTAAGCTGTAAGACTAGCAGGGTGGCTCATATTAAACTGGCGGGGATTCCTAGCCATCTTCCATTTATTATTCATTTGGACCGTCCACGCTTGCATTGCTCGCTTCCGTTGTGCTGTCTTTGTAGCCTGAATGCTCTCATATTACATTATGCCTGCTATATCATGATACTAGTTCCTCGCGCATTGACTGTAATTGATACCTCTAATACTATCAGTGCCTACTTTCAGTAAGCACTAACTCGTTAAAATTTCACGCACTCTTGCACATAACTGGTTAGTGAGCAAGTAGTATACTGTACGATCTAAAATTCAACAATGTTTGAACGGCTAAATGGCGAACTGCAGACAAGTGAAACATTTTTATTCAGTTATTAATTTGTTGCATGATGGTCGTTCATATTTGTTTAACATTTTACTACTGGCCGTGGCACATCTAAACCTTGCAAATCGCCCACACGCTTTGTACGTTTTGTACCGTTTACCAATTACAATGAGATAGGCACCTATTATAATTACAATCAGTTGAACTAACCAATTCAGTTACTTAACAGTATAATTGTTCGGTTAGGTGTTTTGAACGCAGCCATACTTATAAAAAGTAAGAAACCTTTTTTCTACTCGAAGGTCGTGCTTGTATACCTTTTTGGTGACTATAACTTTCAATCTAAACACCAGTATACACGGCCTTACTGTGCACTGAGCACGTTGGTATTGATTTACAAGGTAGCTAACAACTCGCCAATCACGCAGAGACAGATCTTTATTCAATCAGTCTCTGCTCTGCGATTCATCTAGAGCGTGGTCTTAAATATTAATGTGTAGTGCACTCGGACAGACACACATAACATGTAACAAAAGATAAACACTAAACAGTGAATGGATAAATATGTGTTGCTAGAAAACAAATGACGTGGATACCGTATCCATGGCGGTGGGTCGCGCGACCGGTAACCGTGACGACAGTTCTCGCCTGCCGCCACTGAGCCTCGGACTGTCCAGCGTCCGATTCATTGTCAACAAACTCGAAGCGGAATACGCACGTGTTACAGCGGCCGACACTTTCGAATCCTGCCAAGAACTTGTCAAATACGACCCGAACATCGACGAGGGCTACGACGATTACGATGACTCTCTTCTCGGTCAACCGAGAGGACAAGTCTGGAATCGCTTCGTAACGAACCTAGGATTGGCACTGAGCAAATGCATTCCTAGTGTCTCGTTTGGGAACTTTGGCCTGTTCGCTATAACGACAGGATTCTTCGCACCGAAAATGATCACTTATCTAGTGGTGTATCCGTTTTGCAGATTGGTTTTCGGGACCCTCTACCCGGCTTATGCATCATATAAAGCTGTCCGGACGAAGAACTTAAAGGAATACGTAAGTGCAGTTGTACTTTTTTTCTTTTCTCAATAACAGCCCATTCTCTGCGCCCCATTTTTAGTGACGCTTAAACCATTAGGATACAATTGAGTAACATTACTGTCTATAAGCTTGAAATGGCAAGTAATTGTCAAACGACGAATTACCATTCGTCGAGAGTCAATTTGGCGTTGAAATGAAAAAATGTGTAATTTGCTGTAAATGGTTCAGTAAAGTACGAAGGCGACCTTGTTATGGGCGTTCGCTCGTGTTTGAAACGCTTCGGTTCCCACTCTGTCCTTTACCTTGTTCCCGGCTTCCTATGACTAATTAGTAGCCGCCACCGCGCCGGTAGCTCAACCCAGCTCGCGGTTATTGTTTTATAAACAATACCCAGAATAATAGAGTGCCATGATCTATGAATATTTGGTTGCTGATGTCAGGCTTGGTGCAATGTTTTTTTGCAATTCGTTACTTAGTATATACATACTCTTTTTCTATGAATACCACTTTATTAATAGGTATGTACCCACTACAAATTATTTATACTCCATTTTCCTTATTATTGAAATAGTGTTGTTCGGTTTGGTCGTTCTAATAACCGTTTTAATGTTCTTTGAAAACACTTCACTTATTTTCCGATGTTGAAATACGACAGTCGGTTTGCTTTCCGTCACCTTGGAAACCGATTTAATTGACTAGGGTTCGCTAATACAATGTAAGTACCTACATAAGCACCAGTATATGCTATTATTTTCACCTCTCCTATTCACATTGAATCTACCAACCAGTTATCCTGTTTGGACGCTGTATAAATATTTTAGTCCTCGTTTTAAAATAGGTATATTAATTAAATCTTTCTTTAGCTAGGGTTGTCTGTTTCCGGAGGACACGGAGAGTGGAGCTATTATTATACTGACATATCCCCTGGAAGTTTTGAATTCCTAGCGAAGAATTTATCAACATCTCAAATGTTTTTGTCAATTTCAGGTAAAATGGATGATGTATTGGATAGTGTTCGCTTTATTCACTTGCACGGAGACGTTCACGGACGTGTTCCTGTCATGGTTCCCTTTCTATTACGAGGTGAAGATAGTCCTGGTATTGTGGCTGTTGTCTCCAGCCACCAAGGGCTCCTCCATACTGTACAGGAAGTTCGTGCACCCGGCACTCTGCAGGCGGGAACAAGTAAGTAACAATAATACTATTTTTGGCTAATTTTTTTTAGTCCTATGCTATTTTAAAATCTTTAGTCTCCAACAGGATATAGTCATTAAGGTCATTAGTATAATCAATGATAATGGATATAGATTTAAATTAAATGTGGCAATTAGCAGTTCAGACAAGTTAAACAAAATCGACGTTGTTACATTTTCACAATAGTATATTACAAGTCGACTGTTAGCCTTTTGTCCTGGGTTTTCCGTCAATAATCGATACGTAGGTCTAGCGTCTGTAAGTACGCAGTCATAAAGGTATTGAAGTTAATCATCATAGTACGATTATACGATGTTGATAGTAAACAAACAGATCTATTGTTTACTTACACATCTTGTTTTAATTATTAAACCTTTTGTATTCACAATGATACAATGCGACTGAACGCATTAGAATAGTTACTTAATACATAGAAAATGTTGCTTGGTTACGGAAACCTTGAGTTTTTAATTTCCGAGTACTATAAACGTAGAGTAAAAACGTTTTAATACAAAAGGTAGTAAGGCTATGCGAACCATAACTATAATTTTGACTAGCCACATTTCGAAATAGATATGCGGAAACTCATAACTGTAGCAAATAACTGAGATGCATTCAAATTAATTGCGTAGGCGCGTGAAATGGGCATTAAGAAATCCTTGACTCGTACCTATTGTTGCTATACGAAGAAATTGGGCTTATTTATAGTTGATTTGGATTTAGAGGAAAAACTCATAGTACAGAATCGTCAGAATAAGTCGCTTTCGGTGATATCTAAGCTTATTCCTATATCATGACTTGTCTAAAACATCATTTCATGAAAAGAAATTCACACTTACAATAGGTAGTGTTATTGTATTGTAATTTTACTTTAAATCCAAAATTGTAATTTTCCAGGAAATAGATGAGTACATAGCGAAGGCCAAAGATCAGGGTTACCACACAGTGCTCAATTTGGGCACTAAAGGTGTCAACTATGCGACCACAGTTATTATGCAGACCGCCATAAAAGTAAGTTTCGACAACCTTGCAATAACCATTGTGGCATGCTTAGTTTAATAACGACGCGCTCTCATTATAAGATCTGTAGATAAACAAGACGTTTATACTTCCGGCAGTTCTTTAATGAGCCAAATAAGGGTGTCGGTGGGCTTTAACCCTTAACAAAAATACACAAGTACAAGTGTTATTTAGTTGTTTAACTTTGTGTTGTTTTCATACCACTTAAAAGTTGTCACAGAACAATACGTTTATCAAAGCTACAGTGTGGCATGTTTGATTACAGTGTGTATAATGTAAATAAGCTAGCAAAACATTGAATTACACCCACGGTGCTGATTTGCACACAGCTTTATGTGTTTTTTTTTTTCAAATTGCCCTTATCGCACTTAGCAAGCTAGCCATCCAGTAGACACCAGTCATCGGGCATGACCACATCATGACCACGTAATATCTCAACTTTCACATCAATTAGCCCAAACCACATAGCCGCTTTGTTTAATTTCGTCTTTTTTAATTTTATTAACACGCTTTTTTAATTTCTCCCCTTCCACCCCCATCTTTTCCAAATATCCTTTCCATTGCTGCTTCACGCAGAACTTCAATCTGCCGAGTCCCGAGCAAGATAGAGATGCGCGCGCTAGACAAGCGATTAGAGGCCGTGACGTCCCCGACGGTGGCTACCAGGATACCTACGAAGACTTAGAGTACCAGCGTTCAGACTTACCTGGTATTGTGGAGATAGTTGAGCTAGATCGTGACGATGAGCCACAGGACTATCGGATGGCAGCTGGGGATGATCATGATCCAGACTACGAACCTGAAGACACGGCGGCGCGGAGTCGAGGCAACGTCGTTCGCAAACGTAAAGTTGCCAAAGAGAAACGACCTCGGAGCAAGTCCCGAGGTCGCCGCACCAGGTCCCAGACGGCCGTAGACAAAGAAAACAATGAAATTATGGTCGACTGAATAACGAGTGCGAACGAAGCTCAACTGTGATGTTTAGATAGTTTTAGACAACGATTTTGGTGACCCGTTGTTTTTAAAGTATCAAGTGTATCACAATATTTTTTTAGTTCGAATAGTAACGAAATTTCAAATTAGCGGTTGCCGTGGCCGCGGTATTGGGCATTACTTTGGTTTACACGTGTATTTTTCAATAAAAAAGTCTGACGTGGATTGTATGAATCTTGCAATGTATCGCTGCTTCGCATTTTCCACTAGTTCTATGAAATTGTTTTGATTTTCCTACTACGACGGACTGGAAAATAGACGTAATTTTATTGCCCCGGGTTAGTTTCGTGATTCGGTAAGATATTTTATCGCTACCACATCCGACATAGTAGGAAAATATATTTAGGCTATTGACTCATGTTGATAATCTGGATGACGAATTTTAGTAGCACCGCCCGCGCCAATACCCTGATAAACATATCATATCCTTAGATGTTAAATAAAAACAAAATGCTAGATATGTGAGCTTTATTACCAAAAGATTTCGAGATCTTGATAAATGTCTAGTTACTACTATTTTTATCGTTTTTACCACGAGGCTATGCTGGACAAAAGCCTCTCACATTGATTCTGAGATAAATAAGGTCCATATATTTTTTTATCAAGTTTCTTATTTTGTTGATGATTTCTAACGCAACATATTAAACCAAAGTATCTTATTCGTGCCACTGTTTAAACGCCATTTTGTATTCACTATTTTATTGTAATATTCGGTTTTATCTTCTTACTTTTTGAAATTGTCGAATATTTATAATTTTAGCTTAAATTATTAGACATTTAGTACAATTTACACAAAAAATGCATTTCAAAGAACAATGCAACGCGTCTCACTGTGTTTTTAATGATTTTTGTTATTTTATTTTTTTACTTTAAATTATCTGTTCCTAAACTGTCCAGCACAAACTCATAGACAACTCAGCATATTTAATGTTATTTTTACATCGCATGACGTTTGTAATTAATTATATGACTAGTTTATATTTGCATAGATGTAACATACATGGCTTTGGCAAGTTACATGAAGTTTTAAAAATAAACTGCGATGGATGATATGTAGTTGAATTATATTACAGGTATAGTTTATAATGCTCATTGCTAGTACTTCATCCGACTTTACAACTCCGTAAACTTGTCTACATGAGTGTTACAGCTAGAAATAACCTATTTGTAAAGAACGCATGTGTTGTGAAACCACCAATGTTGTGTATTGTGTTAATTAGATTTAGTTGTGTGACTGATTTAGTTTTATAATCAATGATTTCTCAATAAATAAATATCATAGTGTCCTAGCCATTGTTTATTATTGTTTAAAGCGTAAAATATCATCGCTTCAATAAAAATTATGGTAGCATGCGCTTTGCCTCACAAAGCTTTGTGTAACAGAAAATACTGCTGATTTCACGTAAGTATTTAATTTTGTAATATTTTTTTCTCAACTAAATCTTTGCAATAGAGCTTGAATTCAAATCACGTCCATCTGCCAGCAAACGACGCTATGAAAATTTGCCTTTGGTAAACCAAAAAGCAATGTTTATTTGCAAACAAGTATTATGAACTATTTTCCTGCAGGCGCATCAATAATTTAATAAATATTTTTCCTCTTTAATGTTCATTCAAACTATCTGTAATTGGCTATATCTATTTATTGTAAATATCTGGATATAATTCCTCAGGGTGGAGGCGGGCTAGTACAGCAAATACGCAAGAGCTACAGCCTGTCGGACCTGACGGAGTGCGAGCCGCGTGAGGAGAGAGGAAGCGATGAAGCCGATGATGTGCTCACCGAGCCCAGACTCTTACGACGAGGTGGTAAAAGGTGAAATATCATTTTTAAAGCATTAATTGTTTTATACAAATCTTAGAAGTAAGCAGAAGTAGTTGATTGAATCCAGCTAGTTATTTTGTTTTAAGTGATCTCACTGTTACTGGGTTTTAAATAAATTCTCAGTAGTAGTACGGAGTCTGGAATTGTGCCCGGTATATGGCAATAGGCTCACCCATACATTACATGGGACCCATAACATGAATAAATAGTGAAAAATGGGTTTTACATTGTACAGTGGCATTAAATGCCGTAATGTGCACCTCTGCCATGCCAAGGCATGATGTTATGATCTCAATCGCTGAGCATGCATGAAGAGATTAAGGTTAAACTAGTCGCGGGCTCGAACTCAATCAAGGGCGTGGCTAAAAAGCGCTCTGTCTCATCTAACATCGTGTGCGACAGAAATAGTACCAGTGATGAGCAGTTAGACGCTAGCTATTTGCACGACGTATTGTTCGCACGCACACAAACACAGCAAAACGTCACTGAACGGTGCATATATCTGTGCTGTGTGTGTTTACTCGTAGTAAAGTCGTACGCGTTGCTACGATTTTATGATGCTCGCATGAATTTTAGTAATTATTGTCACAGGGCATTGTAATTACTGATTTTTTTATTTTTTTATGATAAGTTGATAACACAATATCCGAAGAATCTACGAAAGGCTAGGGATATAATTCTGTAGGTAGGTAAACAGTTACTTTTTTTTCTAAGTACCAATAACTTTATGTACCTACTAAACCTAATAGGTACCTACAATATTTGTTGTATTTGTTTAGTTTTCGTAAAAGTAGGTAATTAAGTACCTAAAAGTATGTTTACTTGCTAAAAATAAAGTAAGAAACGTAATAAAAAGTATAGTTGACAACCCCAATCGAGTTCTCACGGAGCACGATAGCCACAAAATATAAAGGTACCTAGTTAGTTCTATGGTATAACTACATACAAAGCGCGCTCGAGCACGTAGGTATAAACAGTGAAGAAGGTACATACCTAAATGAGATTGACTTCTGTACCTATGTATTTTGTGCGAAAACATTCGGCTTGGCGGTTGCCCGTTGATATTATCAATATTCCTATTTGCGGTAATCTACAACAATTTATTATAAAGAGCCTAAAGAGGTAAAGTTTGATTTATAATAAGCATGATCATTTCTTCTGTCTGGGTGTTTTTATCTAATTATAATAATATGGAAATATTTAGAAATATACCTCTAAGTACCTATGTATATCTGTTGTCTAGTAGGTACCTACACATAACACAAGCTCTGCTTAGTTTGGGACTGGACAGGGTAGGTACAAAGTTGTGTGATATTGTGGAATATTATTATTACTTAGGTATTATTTAGGAAGGATGGCTAAAAAGGCATAGGTACCGTAGGTACGTAAACGTAGTGTACCTGCTAGTAAAATATCAATTCGGTCTAGCCGAATTGAACATTGACCTGAACAAATAGAAAGACAGACAGACGGAAAAATAAATAGGAAAAATACAAAAATAAATAAATTAAAAATGGGTTTAAAAACTATTTATTTGTTTTTTCTGTCTATCTGTCTTTCTGTTTGTTTTACGTAGGTACCTATGTCCAAAGGAATAAGTAGTTTTTTTTACCTACTTATCGTGCAAATAGCCGTGTGATTATGGAAAAATCTATGTAGAAAGGTATTTTAATATTTGGTACAAACTGACACTGCAATTTATTTACATTGTTTAGTATAGGTATATCGATTTTACGATAAATAATATAAGTATCGTACATCTCGCACTATAATACCTACGGACAGTTTACTTACAAGCTTTTATATAGGTAGGTAGGTACTTACTCGTGGCTTCGTTGATAACTAACAATTATATTTTTGTTCAACTTACGTACCGCGAATAATACCTTAGTACCTACCTACCTAATAAATAGGGGTTTTTTTTTTTTTAAGGGGGGAAAGTCATCGAATGACTGCTCCCGCCTGGGTGAGGCGGAAGGGAGTGTCAGACTCTTACTGACTAAAAACCACCCCGTTCCTTCTCCTGCACGTCGAGCCGGAGCCCCGGTTACCCGTTAGGTTCTCCGCGACTCCGAATCGGCATCGGCCCTATTGGGCCCCATCTGTGGTGGTCTGATGGCTCTTTGAGGCGCGCGAAAACGCGACGCGCCGTACGCTCGGGTCTTTTTTTTTTTTTTTTTTTAAGGGGGGAAAATCATCGAATGACTGCTCCCGCCTGGGTGAGGCGGAGGGGAGTGTCAGACTCTTACTGACTAAAAACCACCCCGTTCCTTCTCCTGCACGTCGAGCCGGAGCCCCGGTTACCCGTTAGGTTCTCCGCGACTCCGAATCGGCATCGGCCCTATTGGGCCCCATCTGTGGTGGTCTGATGGCTCTTTGAGGCGCGCGCGGAACGCGACGCGCCGTACGCTCGGGTCTGTTTCTGGTCGGACGGGGAGCCACCCATGCTCGCCGTCCGCAGGCCCGCGCTTACGGTGGCCGGAGATCGTCCCGCGATCCCCGACGCCCGGTGTGTCCTTCGCGATGGCCGGGTTGCGAGGAGGCAGCGCTTCGCTGCCTCACGCGTCCCGCCTCCTCCTTAGCTAGCATGACTGCTTCGCAAAAGGAGGAGACGGCATCCCAGTCCCCCTCGCTCCGCATCATGGCCTGCACTAGGCCCGGACGCGAGAGGTCGCCATCGCCGATCACTTCCCTGAGGGCACGGCGGTGCTCAGCCCACGCAGGGCATTCTCCCACTGTGTGTTCCACCGTGTCCTCAGGGCGGTCCTCGCAGTGATGACACCCGGGCGTTTCCTCCCGCCCCATCAGACACAGGTACCTCCCGAAACTTCCGTGTCCGGTGAGGACCTGCGTCAGGCGGTAGGTGAGGACGCCGTAGCGTCTCTCAAGCCACTCCTCAAAGAGGGGTCTTACCGCTGCAATGGCAGCGAGCCCAACGCTCGGGTCTGTTTCTGGTCGGACGGGGAGCCACCCATGCTCGCCGTCCGCAGGCCCGCGCTTACGGTGGCCGGAGATTTTCCCGCGATCCCCGACGCCCGGTGTGTCCATTATTTTATTTATTATTATTAATTTTATTTAAAAACACAGGTAAGTATCTTATAATCTAAGCCCCACAAAACCGTTGGAATGGTTTGACTGCGGGGTCGAGTCGCTAGACATTACAATTAAATGTACTTATATTTAAATGTTGTACAGGCGTTAAAACTTATACTTAGGTACTTATTATTAGGTCATTTCTAAATAATATGACTTTAATTTTCGTTTAAACCTATCCTACCTATCGACACCACACCACCGCACCGGTCGCAAAGCTCCAGTCGTAAGATAAGGGTAAGGAGAATAGTCTACACATACGATACAAACCACGTAGGCCACAGCAGCAGACTAAGTCGACCGAGTCCAAAACAAAAAACAATAGAAAATAGTCTAATGATTTGCACGACACTCGCTGTCGTGCAAAAAATTGTGCAAAAAATTGTGCAAAAACGCGTGAGCGTCTTTCCTCCGCCCCGCGCCGCTGCCGGGGGAATTTTATCAAATGAAATGCACGATAATTCATCGTAAAACGAGTGCGTATAAAAGTACGATTTAGTGCTTTAGAAAAAAGCGTTTTTTGAAAAAACCACTGCTTAGATCAATTTGAAATAAATTTTATAGAACTCTCTGGTAATTGTGCTGTGTCGGTACGGTCTACGATTTGGAGATTTTACACGATTAGTGGTACTTTTTAACACCCAAAGTTGCGTCAAAATTGTCATGAATAACAAAACTTTGGTGGCTCATAACTTTTTAATCGTTATTTTTTATTTTTTTTTGTTTCCGTACCGACAAATGTAATTACAAGATAAAACGTTGTCGTGTTTAATTTTGGAGGTACAAACTCACACTGTGGAGTAATACCGCCCCGAACTTTCTATGGAAAAAATATCGACTAGTGTAACCTTAATGATTGGAGATGAAGCGAAAAGAATGATTGTGGCAGATTAATTAATGAACGCTGAGGGAACGAGATCTCGCTACACGACTTGTATAGCTCTATTTCTTTCCCTCAATGGAACCATTCTGACTAGGACGTCATAATAACCCCGCAGAGCAAAGAGACGCGCTAAATCGCTTCAATTTATCTGCATACCCTAGATTGAGGCAACCTGGCGATAGTTTTGTAGGTTCCTTTTCAGAACTTTATATTGCACTTTATACCACGTATAAACAACCCGTCTCGACTCTGTATGAAATCAAACAATGCGACGATCAATCACAATGTATAATTAAATTGTTTGGTTTGATTACAGTGGTTTCTCCACCCGTCGCAGCGCTTCGGAGTCGAACAGTCGTTCTCCTATGTATTTCCCCGAGGTCGATGTTGACGTGAGACCTCGACCTAGAGCTGACGAACCAGATTTCAGGTGAGATTATTATTTTATTTATTGGTTGGTGTCCTGACAACCTTAATAAGGCATACTCCACACTAACATCTTGAAAAGAAAATAATTGTATCAATTAGAAAGAATTTTGTTATACAACACTATTTTATCGTGCTGTGTTTTCACCGATTCGATATTCATATTCTAAGGGCCTAGTTGGCCTCTGGAGTTGACAATAGTTTTATCTTGTTACTTTATTATTAAAAGATTAAATTTTTCTTACAGTCACATAAAGTCAACAGAGGACATAAGCTCGGGCTACTCAAGTGCGGACAATAGTGCATCACTGACTCGTACGGCGTCGCTCGGCGCCGGCGCACGCGCACGCGGCCGTACTACTCGTACTACCGTCACTACTATCAAACGACCACAAGCTGCCGAGGTCTGGTAACACCGATACTATAATAACACTCTGCTTGAGCGTAGTTACTGGGACATGTTAATTAATTTTGTTATGGAGTATAGTCAGTGAAGCGAGCAAAACGTTTGGCCTACTAGAAGCTTTGACTGTAGACAGAAAACTGTTGAAGACAAAATGTCATCTAATGGGTCTCCTATGTTGTGCCCTTTGTCCTTTAATGTGTTAGACTGCTACATAATTCATTTTTCACAGCCTTGTACATCCTGCGCATATATCACACCCAGATCGGAACAATTAATACGGGGAATATATTTCCTTATTATAAAAGTAAACTTAACCGATGCAGTAAGGTTTTTAGTCGGAAATCTTGAGCATCAATCTCGTTTCATTGACTTCTAAATACCAATAACTACGCTCATGCGCCAAGACAAGGATTGCATAAGCTACAGAAACTAAACATTTGATTATGTTTAAATTATATTCGTCGGCTTTGTGTGTCTTGAAAATTAAATATTTAATTAAGTCTCTGTATAGTATGTAATCTATGGTCTGGTCCTTGTTCAAGACATGTTTCTTTACAATTTGAATGCCGGTTTCAATAATTTAAAAAACTATACAAGGAGATCACTAAGCTTGTGTCCTTTGTAAAAGTTATGTATATCATGTTTTAATTTTCATCCAATTTTGACATTTTATTGAGACAGATGTTTAATTTAGATTAAGTAATTTGGTTACTTAGGCTTATCGTTAAGTAAGAACATAAAAATCAAGGACTGTATTGTAGTTTATGAAATTGTTACGGTCTACTTATTTTGTTGAAACTGGCATTTAACATTAACTAACATTACAACATACGACAATGCAAAATATGTTCAATGCAAACGCACAAAAATTAAAGTACCTGATATTTTTTGTACTGGCAACTTTCATAGATTAAAAAAATCAAGTGACATGTTTTGAACAAGGGTTTTTGACATTACTGATTTTGAATCATTGAACTGTCATAATTGTTTCGTTCACATAAAAATACTGTTTCTTACTTTATGGATGAAACAATTATAACTTTAACTCGACATTTATATCACGTTCCATACACTAATTTTATTTAAATATTTTATTGGAGTATTGTACTATCAAATGTTCTATGGGGATGCATTTATGTCGGGGAGTTTGGTGTTGACTTGCTTTCACACTTACGGAAAAATTGTTATAAATGTTGCTATGTGCCTATGTGAGGCTTTTGTGTATCACTTTAGATGAAGTTATACGAGGTGTTACAGAATAAACAATACTAAACAGGTATTGTTTCAGGCCACGAAACGGAACTACTTTTAATTTTGCACTTTTGAAAATGGAAGAAACAATATTACGAAATGCGAACAAGAACTTACGATATTTGTATTGTAACTTTCGTGAGACATACTAAATAAATTATTATGTTTTCGGCTTACTTACGTAATAATTTGACGAGGAACTCGACTAGTTTCAAGCCATGCTAGAGGCTCATATTCATGAGCAACATTTCGCGACCCGCGACGCGGCGACTGTCGCGCTGCTACTACAGTAACTAGTCGAGTTCCTCGTCAAAATATTACGTGAGTTAGCCGAAAACAATAATTTATTAAGAACTTATGAGTTTCGACTAAGATCAAAGCATAGTGGTTTTGTTTTATGGCTTAAATCAATATCTGCTAGGTCTTGCATTTGTCCTGGTGCACCTTTTGTTACAAAACAACTCCCCTGCATAAATGTTTTATATTGTTTGGTGTGCCAGGGTATGATTGGTGCTGGATCTTGGTTGTAGCCAGAACATTTCTAAGCAATGTGTGAAAATCAATTAAATATTGGCTATTTGACTGAACAAATATATCTTTAAAAGAGTGATGTCTTTTTGGCGGCTAGGTATGTGTAAAGGCTCAAATGTAGAATTACATACCTACCTATCGTTATTGCTATTGGCTTCGAAATATATTTATAATTGTTTGTGTAAGATAAAATATAACGAAAAGTATTATTACTAGTTCTAGTTAAACAGATTGGCTTACTAAATAAGGATTATCCTTCACATTAAAATAATTTCGGATTCTTATTTAATTTTATTTTAGAAATAACTTTACCAAAGGTTTTATAGACATAGTTTTCTTATTGCATGAGTTAGTGTTAATATCAATGGTTACACCAGTTTATCACTAGCATCACTATGTTATGCCAATAAGTCTGTTTATTGCATTTATTAGCTTATATTTTGTTTGAGTTTTTTTTTATTTTGATATAGACTTAAGAACTTTTTATTTAAAGGAAAATGAAGTAATCATCGAGGAGCTACACGACGACGATAGTTTTGAATATTCGAATATGCCCGCTCTTATTAATCTCCCGTCTCCTCTCTATTTGTCCCACACGCAACCCCCCTTCATATACCAATATGTTGGCGACCAAGTAAAGATCCTCCAAGTACTAGGTAATTACCCTTTCGCTGCAAATGTTAATAATCAAACTAATAACAATACAGATCACTGGGACCAAAAAGAAGTAATTTCCGAAGAAGCTTCAGTAATTAGTTCAGTAGATAGAGATAATGCTAATAATAAAAGTTCTAATGAAGTTATTAAAAGTAAGAAAAGCGATGTTGTTTCCGACATTCCTGTTGCAAGTCAACCAAAAGACAATAATGATGACCAATCTAGTTCAAACAATGAAGATGTAGTGTTTGAGACTGCGCTGGATAATAACGATAAAGAATCCGTAGATAGAGAAATAAAAGACGCAATAAATACAATTTTAGATGAACACACCGATGCTACTAGCCTTGATACCTCTATAAACGACAATGACTCTGCCGAAAGTGACGACGAAGCGTCTTTTGGGACACCCGAAGATTCTCCTAAGAGCAAAAGAAAAACTCCGAAAGGAAAATATGGCAAAAGCAAGGCGCCACCACCACCGCCCAAAGTTGATGCGGAAGACGTAGCGCACAGTGATAACACAGAAACTTTTAGTAAATCGGAGACAGATACAGCTTTAAAAATGGCGACGTCCCAAGAAAGTTTAAATGATATTGTAAATAAACTACCAAATACAACCATTAAAGAATCTGGATCATCGAAAAATCTTCAAATTGTTAATCCCATAGCCGAAAACAAAAAGAGGCATAAATCCAAATCGCCAGCTCGAGTCCCAAAAGGCAACAGTTCTGGATTAGGAAAACTATTACAGTTGCCAGGCAAGTTTGCTTTTTGGCATAAGACTGAAGAGAAACCAAAAGTAGATGAAACATCAACCTCATCGGAGGATCATAGTCGAAGGTCATCAACTATTGAAAGGGGTGTTGATGACTTTCAGGATTGTACGGAATTGAACACTGATGTAGGCACTGATGAAGTAAAACCTAACGATGTACCGCAGATAGAAAAATCAGATGATCAAATTAGTTTCAAAGATGCATCTGGTTTAGATGAGGAAGTCTTATCCCAAAATATTATAGTTAAGAGTGATGCTCTGCAGAAACTCATTGAAGCTAAGATAGCTGGCCATCCAGAATATAAATTTATATCATTACACGAAGAAACGCCCACTTCGTCGAAAAGTACAGACGTGTAGGGCTATCCTAAACTCCTAAGCCCGCTTTTATTTGCAGCTGAAGTTAGACAAAACAGTATGTTTATTTTAGTTTCGTTTTGTGAGTGTTATTTACATGCATGGATTTAGTTTGTTCGCCTTTTATAACAATACTACACCAAAATTAATCACAAAATGTACTTTACACCTAAGCAAATGCTTGACCTTTTATAATGAGTGTAGTGTTGTATTTTATTTATGTTTTTATATTTATTTTAATCAATGTTTCCTAATCCTGTGTTATCACTGACAACCTAAGCCAATTTATAACTCTATGTATAATATGGTTGCACTTTTAGTAACTGTTAAAACTTTTTACTGGACTGAGTGTTAAAGAATTGCCACCATCTTCTACTACAAATGAGTAGTGCTTGTGCTTTTTTGAGTTAGTTATCAATTTACTCCTTTTATTTTCAGGCAATGCTGACGGCCTCTGCTACCATTCCTCGCGCAAAAAAATCTAATAAAAGGAAAACACAGTAGATTGTATCCAAATAAGTATTACGTTATCCTTCTAGCCGAGCTTCGTGCAAGAACGATTTATGCTCTCTATATTCTGGAAACTGAATTTTATTTCAATAGCATAACATAAAATGTGCAGCTATTAGGGAGCATAATGTTTTTCCAATCTTCCGCGCTTTTAGAAGCAGTGACATTGTTGAATGTATACTATTTACCTTCACCACATTGGCCAAAGGTGCATGCGAATCTCACCTAGATGTTTAATTTCATGAACGGTATTTAGTGATTGGTAATATATGAAAGATATGGTTAAAATCAACTGATTGAATGGTCCTCCTCTTCATTAAGCCCGATCTTGACTGTACTTCTTTGAAAACACGTATATACCTAATAGGTATTTTTTGACATAAGTAACTACGTAGTTTCTTAGCCAACGGTTAGTCAAATAATTTATATTTTCGCAACTGCCATTAGCGAATTTAAAAATGCATTATTCTCCCCCGAGAATATAAAATCGAATAAATTGTTTTAGTACATAAGATGGCTTCCAGATACGGTTTTTTTTTCAATTTATGCTGATCTCAACCAAGTCGCGATTTGAATAATAAGTAAAACTCAACGATGACTAACCGTCTTATTTATTATATTAGGCATTAAATGCGTGATTGTTTTTATTGATATTATTTATGAGATACAAATTCTCAATAATTCCTTCTACTCTTTGCCATTATTTACATTAGTTTTGATGGCTATGTCATTGAGAATCTTATAAAGAAATTGTGTAAAAGTGAAGTTAGTCAATCATTACTATAGAGTCATAGTGACCTTCAAGAGACCGTAACAATAGGACATATCAGTCCTACATATATACTATAATAGTATTACTAAGCATTGTTACCCAAATATTACTGTAATACCAAGTTCGTTATCGGTAATTTATAATTTTAGCCAAAAATTGCCAAATTGACACTAAACGACTCGACAATTAGCAGAAGTTATTTTGTATTAGTCATATTTATTATAGAATTAGTTTATAGAAAAATAAAACTAGTCGTTAATAATGAATTTTATTGATAAACAGCTTCAATGAGGCTTCATATCGGAATTGTAAGAGATTGTCAAGCGAAATGCAGTAAGGCAAAAATTATAAAATCACAAAATGGAGTTTGCTTTGAATAAAAAAGCATTTGCTTAATCTAATGAAGTTTTACAGATATTCTATGATGAAACCTGGTTTTGTGATACCGAATTTGAGCTCATTTACACCAGGATTATAGATAAGAGAAAGGTACAGCACAAATTGCAAATAATGTGGAATATTTAATAAAGATTTATTTTTACAAATCACTACAAAAGGTATGTCCCCTGTTCTCTTATAATACAAAAGTTCCTTGTATTAATTATTTACTGATAATTAGTAATTCAATAATTATTATAAAGGTAATAAGTTGATTGAAGTTTTTGTAACACAATATGTCAATACTTCCAAATTTGTTGGTTGTGCAGCTAGCATTTTGTATCCTTTTCAATGGAATGTTACTGCATTTTTATTAACTTGATGTTACCCTATAATTTTGTTACCTCGTCGTTACATAAAAGTGTATATTTATTTATTAGTTGACTGTCACATTTTTGCGTAATAATTTGTGTTTGAGTTTATTGAAATAAATGACTATCATAATTATACATTTTGCTTTTAATCCGTCCATAAACTAATATACTTAAAGTACACTTATTAAATTTCACCTGATTTCAATTTTAATGTTTCAAATATGTAGTTATTATAATCGCTTTTATAAACACTATTTATTATTTGATCTCTAAGTAAATTTAGAGTCTCATCATCCCATTTTTTAACATAGTACAGCAGTGAAAATAGCTTGTAATAGCTACTTTGATTACTGTCTACATCAGATATAATAATGTCGGGCAGATTCTGTACTATTTCTAATAACTTTGGCCTAACAACCATATTGAATGTATGGTTATTTCTAACAGCAAACTTGTGAAGGATGTCTACCGTTTGAACAGACACTGTTTTCTCCAGCAAAATATCCGGCAGATTTTTTACCCAAGTGTTGTAAGCATCACAATCATGGAAATGGCTCAGTTTTTCATTCAGAGCAATCTTACATAAAAGGCTAAATATCTTTTGTCTAAACGAGCTAGACAATTCCTTATTAAAATATGCCCAAACAATCTTTTGAAATAAATCGTTCATCACTGAAATAGTTCTGGTCCAATTATTTACTTCATTTGAGAATATTGTGTGTAAAATCTTAATGATTATGTCATTAATTTCAACTTGAGTGTTCTTATTAAAAGTTTTCTCAATATACTTCAGTACGGACACAACATCCTTGTTTTGGATTTTCACATTAATGTTTGGATTTAGTAAAATAAACAGTTCACATATTACCAAATTCTGGGCAACTAACTTGGGGTCTGTGATAGTGTTTTCAAATTCTGAACTTGTTACATTTCTTTGTTTGGTCTTTATGTTCGTGACATAAGGGAAAGCATTGACAAAGTGTTGTAAATATGGCTGCCTGTATTTTTGTGAAAATGTATGCTGTATGTTAGAGCTTGAGCTTTTTATGTTGAAATGTTTAACAAGTGACCAGATCAATGATATGACATCAAGGGTGTGGTTGAGTAAGGCAGCTGCATCTTCACTGACCACAGTTTCAATGTTTTTCTCTGAACTGACATTAGGACATACTTCCAACCATGTTTCAAATAACAAAGGCATCAAAGTGTCAGTATATTCTCTGAATTTTTCTACTTCATCCAATGGCACTGTTTCCTGTAGGTTTTTAGAAGAGAAGCAAGATAGTGGACACTTCTGTATGTAACTTGGATTAAACAAAGAATAGTGGTTCATTTTAGAGGCATCAAATATCTTAGTTGTGTTAGCAACTGGTCCTTCATAATCTTGAATTTTGTTGTATTTCACAAACTCTTGCAGGTAGTCTTTGAGGCGGTGTAATACTTTGACTCTCCATTTCACGCTAGTAATTTGGCTTCCCAAATTAACAGTTAGTGTTCTTCCTGGCTTTGAATCAATCCTTAACTTTGATATCATGTCTAGAAAGTTTGGTATTATTTTGTGGAAATCCTGTGCAACTTTTACAGGTGTACACAGGAGTAGTGTATCTAGAAACAGTAGGGAATCCTCTTGTATTCTGCCATCTATGTGAGTCATAGCACTCCTTAGATAAGTACACATGATGTCGAAAAAGGGATCAATCCTTTCTATATTTGCTTTTGAGAGGATTACATGTAAAGTCTTCAAGGATTCATGTCGCACCTGAAAACAATTTAAAACTTTAATAAGAACATGTACTACACACAGGTTTGTGTTCATTAAATATTATGATGAAATTCTATGTGAGATGGTAAGTACACCTATGAAACTTACACATGTTTCAAGTATATTCTACTTGAAACATGTGTAAGTTTTTTTAAATATATTTTTTTTTATATTTGATGGGTCGAAATTTGGTCATTGTAAGTAACTATCGCTATCGAAGTGTATTAAAGTCTTGGGTAATTTAGAATTTAGGTATAACTTACAACTTTCTCAATATTCAATACTAAAGGTGTTACTCCATGAACTAATTCTCCTAGATTGGTTTCCAATACTTCAGGATGAAATTCAATGAGTTCTTTTATTCCATTTAGTGCATCAGTCCGAGAGTGAGTGTTGAAATGGTTGAGACGTGACAGAAGTTCCTTTATATTAAGTTTTCTTGTAGATAATGCTTCTGTTTCACCATGCTTTTTCAGCTGTTCTCTTAGCACGATTTTCTTTACTTTAAAGTTCGTCTTGGTCACATTTGTACCTTTTGGAAGTTCCTTGTTTTTACCTTTTAATTTTGTTTTGGACTTCTCTGATTTGAGAAATTTTTGTCGTCGGGTTGCTCCTGTTTGAGGCATATTTACTTTTTAAGGTTAGTCAAGGAATACACGAACAAATCCAATAATCACAACATAACCTAAAATATAGAATGAGATTTGTTTGACGTTTGACATCCATAATCATGTCATCATTTTTTGTAAGAAACTATACGTTACGTTCAGTTTGTGAATTTCACGATAAAATATTTATTATTTCTAGTAATAAATTTCTTATATTTAGGTTTGGGTACAGAAATAATACTTTGATGTGGTAAATGTGATTTTATATCTCTGATAAACGTGTTCAAATCTTAGTAGTGCTCAATTACGTTTAGCTAACCGGTCATTTGTTATATCTGTCAAGTGTAAATTTTGTCAAACAAACTGTCAAATTCTCACGTGGAACGTGGTGTTGTGCTGTTGTGGTATATTCAAACTGACTAAATTAATTTATTTGTATATTTAAAGTAAAATATAATTCAAAATGAAGATCAAGAAGCAGCACCGTAAAAAGAAGTATCTTCACAAACTTAATCGGAAACGAATGCATCTTAAACAACGAAGCACTGGCGAAGTTAATTGGTTAGGATGCGTGTTATATTGTTTTCGCTATTGTTGACTAATATAATGTATTATAATATTCATCCTTAAATTTACAGTAAACCAATAAAGGATGCATGGGATTTTAAAAAGTCTTCGCTTCGTAACATGAAAGAAATGGGTCTTGCCAATGATCCCAATAAAGTCATAAAAATCCCAAATTTCAAACAAGAGAAAGTGAAACAAGCTAAGAAGATAATAAATCAAGAAGAATCTGACGAAGATAGTGAGGAAGAGGAAGTAGTTCAACCAGTAGTAAAAAAGGAAGTAGTTGAAATGTTAGAGAAAGAAGCTAGAGCTCCACGACCAAGGAGATTCATGTAAGTTATTGTTTATTTTTTTGAAATTTAGTTTTTAAATACACAAAGTAATTCCATTCTAATTCTAAATATATCAATTAATTTATCCGCCTTTTACAATAATTAAAAATGAACTCTTTATAGTTTCATAACAATTTGTAACTTTACTCTCTTCATTTCAGGTTGCCTAAAGGACAAGTTGAATTTATAACATATTTACTAGATAAATATGGTCATGATTACAAAGCTATGGAAAGAGATAAGAAAAACTATTACCAAGAGACCTGGAAACAGTTGAGAGCTAAAATAAAAACATTTATGGGCATTCCTAAACAGTATGGGGAATATTTAGCTTCCAAAGGTTTACTTGACAAAGACGATGATGATGAGGAATTGAAGAAAATAGCAAAAAGTTTAGTTGTTGATGATTAGTCTGTAGACCTATTCATAAGTGCTTGATTCTCCATTTTTGGAGTATCACTAAGGTGTATTTTTAAGTGTAAATAAAATAATTTTAAGGACAACTTTTGTTTCATTTTTAGCTTTTACTCATATATTTGTTATGCATATAGTACTGCCTCATTGGCAGAGTGGTCGCAACTGCGATTGCCGGGCAAGGGGTCTCGGGTTCGATTCCCGGGTTGGGCAAAGTATTACTGGGATTTAAAAAAAATCTCAGTAGTAGCAAGGAGTCTGGAAATTGTACCCGGTATATATCAATAGACTCACCCCCTATTACATGGTACTCATAATATGAATAGTGAAAAGTGGGTGTACATAGTACAGTGGCATAACATGCACCTCTGCCTACCCCTTCGGGGATAAAAGGCGTGATGATGTTATCATTCTTTATTGTTATCAGCCAAAAGACTTCTACTAAATATAGGTACCTATTGAACAAAGACCTCTTCATTAGTCCTCAGTAATAAGTCCTCTACTTGATTTAAAACATAAATAAAACAGATTTGAATTATAATAATATTATATTAAAGTTTTATTGTGTTTTGCAATCATTCGGGATATCTTTGATAGGCTTCACTCTGTTCAGCTCTAGATACCACTCTTTATCCATGTCCAACAGCTGCTGAGGTTTTTTGTACTGAAAAAAGAAAAGTATATTAACTCGTCGAGTACCGGTTTTATAGACACAATTAAAGATTGTTCTTTAGGTCGCGGTCACCGGTGACCGCTTGGTGTTTGACAGTTTAAGTATTAATATACTACTTTAAGAACCTTTTTAGATGGTCATATTTGTAAACTTAGAGCATGCAGAAGTTCTATAAAGACAATAAGGGGGAGTAACTATATTCTATTTATTTTTAACTTACTGCAATAATCAATGTATTGAATGAATGACTGCATTGTATATTCCCTTGTTCTATGGGTAAGTTTAGCCTGTCTAATTCAGGTACTTGTAGCCTTTTGAAGTATTTTTTATTGGTTGTCCGGATAACAATACATCTTTCATCATTGTTGGCACTAACAGAATATGTTTCAATAGGATATGGTAAGTTTCGGATTCTCCATTCCAAGTTTATTCTTGTGTTGCGCCTTGTTAATTTTGGCTGGAATAGAAAAATAATTTTAAAATAAAATTATACTGTTAAGACATTAGTGCAGATGGTACCTATACCTTGATCTTTATGATCATCTATCATATTATGTTACGCAGAATTGTTTAATATGATGCCCACGGCCATTTTCTATCACTGCACTGCTCGCCATCGACAGGTAGTTCACGCTCACACATTGAAGCCCAAATGGTCCCGCACAGTTTGGTTTCAGAGGAATTTCCTCCCATGGACCTCTCCGATTGTGGAATGAACTCCCTGCTGAGGCTTTCCAAGTGGGCTACAGCATGGGGTTCTTCAAAAGGGGAGTGGAATAGGTTTCTTAAGGGTCGGCAAGACGCATGTTATACCTAAAGTGTTGCAAGTGTACATAGGCCACGGTAACCGCTTACCATCAGGTGGGCCGTGTGCTTTGTTGCCACCGTTGTAGAATAAAAAGAAAATATTATACCTGATCCTTACTCTCCATGATTTCAGCACCAATTCCTTCAATGTGAGGAGTTGCATCAGGCATTGGATCGCCAATTTCTACATCCCATTTTCCCTCTCCCCCAAGTTTTCCCTTTACTTTCCAAGCACGGCGCAATAAAACCTGCGTGTCTACATTATACTCTTCCACCATCTCCTTGTCATCTTGAAACTTATAATGAATCTTTTTTAATTTATCCTCCTTAAGACATGACTTCTCCGCATCCAGCAGCGAGCGATACCAAATTGTATTCCTAAACATCTTCGAACTATTACCTTCGATATAACTAGTTTTAATACGTTTCGATGAGCAATCAAAATCTTCACAGACTTCGACCAAACAATTACTTCTTTTCATAATGTTTCTATAGCAACGAATTATAGTTATCGCTCATATTTTTGCGATCAAACTTCGTGGTATCGTATTATAACCTACTTAAATCCATGCTGTGAAAAGTTTGAAAGAATAAACAATGTGTAAATTTGGTAGGTATTAAGTTATTATAACGCAATGTAGCCTAAAGTTCACTTGGTTCTATCGTCCTCTAATTAATTATTACAATAATTTTCAAAAAGTAACTTAATATTTTTCTAGGATAACTTTGTAAACAAAAACAATATCATATGCATAGGCAATTTTCTTTATCAAAAAAAAAAAAACATTAAAATAGTTTGTTGTCTGTGGTTATAGTGGATTTACATGACTTGCTTTCGCATTCTCCGTCTTTTCAAAAATTACAAGACACAACAAAATATGTAATACCAATTAAGTTATAAATCATTATAAAATAAAAATATCTTCAACATTCAAAAGGCAGAATTTCTGGACTAAAATAAAAATGGCTTGGCATGTCAAAATTGTCAATGTCAAGTGATTGAATGTTAATGTATGTAAACTCGTAGAGGTTATGTTATGTGTCATTGTTACGTTTAGTATAGTAAAATAATAAATATTAGTTCGCTTTTCTAAATTATTTTATGTATTAACTACTATAATTTAGCATTAACATCTTAGTAAAGATGCCTGCTATCCCCGACAGGTCAGTATTATTTTTAATCCCAAAAAGGAAATGTGTTGACACCATTGGCATTGTAGTGTATATTTTGTGGTTTCATTTAATTTCAGATGGATCCCGTATAAAGCTTGTGGAAAGGTTATTGAAGGTACCAGATTGATATGTTTCAAGGTACCCCTTAGGAAGGTACGTACAACATTTCGCTATTATACTGGAACATATGTAAACACAAGCTATACCTACTTTAAGCAGATATCAATACACTTGAATTCGAGATAAATAGAGCATCCACTATATAAATTGATTAATTTGTAGTCTAATCCAATTTTAGTTCACCCTTATTGGATTATGTACAAATAAACAGTAGAATACTCCTACACTGAAAACACGCAGTTGCCATGCTGCGACTGTTGGATAATTTCAAATAATGTATTAAATTTTGTTTTATGACGAATTGATGATTCACCTGTAAATATTTTCAGAAAGTTATATTACTTCTCATTTAAGTAAATACATAATTAACGAAAGTCATAGTATGCGTACTAAGCATTACGGCTGCTTTTCTATCATAGTTATTGGTAAGTATTGTAGTGTAAAATATTTATGTGTATGTTGAAGAATGATTTGGTATTTTTAATAATGAATCGCAACATTTACAATTACCAATTTTTCTTTGAGTAATTTATAAAACAAGAATTACATGAAATAGTGACTAACTAATACATTTATATTGTAGTCAGTTTTAAATGAGTAATAATTAGTAATGATTCATTCAAACGACACAAAACTGATGAGTAAGTTACGTTTTTAATAAAAAATTTCATGAAAATGTTTTCCTAACAAACCTGTTGTGACTTAAATTTGTAACAGTGCCATCTATTATTCGTTTTTAACATCTGTTGTAAAGTTTCCCGCTGTTTGCTTTAGATGGCGTTATAAACCTAAAATAAAACCATCAAAGGTTTTTTGTTGTGGTAAATCTAAGGTTACTTTTGGTCGTCTTTGTCTCGTATTATTATTTTGGGTGAGTATTTTATTATTTTACGACAATTAATTTAGACATCTATCTAACATAAATCGGCCAGACAAACAATTGAAAAGAATCTGATATCGCAGTAGTTAGCAGTAAGAAATCTATGCGGATAGAATTATACGGATGCCTTAATACCACTTGACGATATATTTTTAACTCTATAGATATTCTCTAAGAATGAAAACAACAGTCCGATAAAACTATACTTAAAATGGTAGCATTTGCACCTGCATTAGCAGAGGTAAGCCGACAATGAAATGCATTATTGGTTCATAAGCGCGACGCACAATGCGTGTTTGTATAACTGTCCGTCTGCCTGGGCGTTCACTTGACCGTACCACAGTTAGATGGCAAACAGACTCGGCGATCTGTGTTAATTTGTTCTGCATAGCGCTTGCATCGCGGCGATATCAGAAGAGTGTTTGCGTTCCCTCTCGAGATCGCACGATAATCGATCGGTGCGGGAGATCGATTTATTTGCGCGCGTAAATGTTTCAGTGGGCCAAGCACCTGCAAACGAAGATAACTTTTTGAACTGACGTGCGGACACAATGTGTCTATTCGTATTTTTTTTCGTGGCAGTTCTAATAATTTGACACTGTCTAAATCATGTTCTATTTCACGTACAGTTTTCAAAACTTTTATTTCTAGCATGTTATGCACTTCACGCATGTTATGCCCAGCCCATTTGTGCCTCGTGCATCTTTCCCTAGAGAAATTGCTAGTATAATAAGAAAATTATAAAGTAGTGAAGGTTGTAATACATGCTACACTGCTATTTAAATCAAAAGCTCTTGTAACAAGCGTCCTTACTGCAGCTAAGAGAACGAAACATGAAAGTCAATGGAACAGTACTTTCTTCTCTTATGTTTAATCTGTAGGAAGTCCTCCAGGTTTCGCCACTTGACATAAAAGATTAATACTACGCCGTATCAGCCTCCATATTTGTTGAAACTGTAGGTTTAACTCGCCACATTATTGTTACAGTCAACAAAATATTCTCGGTAATACAAGTACTTGGTGCCTTAATCGAGGTACTTGAGCAATGTTTTAAGAAAGAAATGATGGGAATTATGGTGTAACATTTTTAAGTTTGTTTGCACCAGTTTGTACAGAGATGTCGTCTAGTTTGTGTCAAAAGTTTACTTTCGTGTACTAATTCACACACCTAACCTCTTTGGAACACACATGAGTCCGAGAAAGTGTATACGAATTCTAGAGACCTCTGCAAGTGAGTGAAGTTAAAAGTCAATTAAATTCTCTGAAGAATACTTTGCATGAATATTTTGACAACGCTTACTATTCAGTCCATTGCGCAGCCTGTCTCGTCAACTATGCGGTCAGAGCTTAACACTGGGATAGCGCGCATAGCATTGCACGCGTTTATCCCTAACCGAGTATTCGAACTTAATAAAAGCAAAAAGGGGCATACTATGTAAATTGTAATAAGCGCAGAAAAATTAAGAGCCATCGAAATCTTAATCATTCTCCAGCTACGACAATGTAATGTATAGTCAGCATACCATAATAACCGGTGTATTATTGAATTGAATAATTTCTGATTGAAATCATATCGTTTTGGGAATAGTTCGCTTTTGAGCTAAACCACTGGGAACTATATACTGTTCCTATTCGCAAATTTACACCGTACGGTCATGCAATGGTTTTTTGATGCCACCCTTTTATATTGAACTGAGGCTTTATATTGAACGTGTTAGATAAATAGCACCTTTGTGACCCATTATCAGGATATTATCGAATTAGTTCAGATTTAAGTAACTTTATTGTTTGCCAACATTTCCTACCTAAACTTGAATATTATGAGATTAAGATTTATTCAAGCTATTTTTAAGTTTCAAGATTTACTTCCGTCACACAAATATTTCGGCTTTATTTGCCGAACCTCGTGTCATAATATTTGTTTGTTACAAAAGAAACGTGTCCCAACATCGAAAGGACTAATCCCGTATTTAATAAACCAGCGGGTGCCTCGCACGCCTCTCTATGAATACTTGATTCTTTTTATCTACACATCTTTTGATTTTTTTTTCGAAATATAGCCCTTTATACGGTATCCGTGGCGCTTTGATTCCGTTTCTTTATTCAACGGTATCTGGCTATAAATTTAGATAGTTTTGTTCTCTTTGAGTTATAAAGGGTATTACGTTAATGGCAATCGGTAGGTGTAATTTGATATCATTCATGGATCCACAACTGTTGCTTTAGTATGATTAACTATCGAACTTTAATTTTACATCGTTAAGCTGAATTCTTTGTCTATCTTGTGATCTAAACGCATATTCCGAAAAATTCTAACCATCTGCGAATTAGTTTTGCTTTATTACAATATTTTTAGAACGTTTTTCATTCAAGATGTTTCTATCATAGGAAACGTTTTTCATATTGGTATATTCTACCGCCTTTGAAGACCGTTTAGTCACATTTTTTTCGTTTTCATTATAATTATGATGAATGGTGACAGTTACAAGGGCGTTCGCTATTCATTCAGGTGGCAGATGGCACCTTTTCGGCTTGTCATTTATTTGGTTGTACCTACATACAGCTCGGTGCTTGACTCGACATTTGAGTGAGAGTTTATTAGTGTTGAAAGATGTTTAATATTCGTCGTGCTGTTGATACTGCTGTGATCAGTATTTCTTTTGATATCGTGTCGTGTTTTGACTTTCATCAGTAAGAGCGATGTATTGAACAGATGCCAGACGTAACACATTGTATCAATCAGTCAAATATTTCATCGTCTTAACCATAACAATATTTTCTTTTCGCAATGTATTTTTACGATATCACCTCTAGGGCTGGCGAACACAATTGGTCTGTGACTTTGATGTACGCTCATGTTTTCATTATACACACAAGAACATATAAAGTTTAAGCGACAACCATTTCTTATTGCGGTCGCGGTAATTTTGTTTTGACCAGATGTATGAGTAGAGCTCAAGAAAAATAAACATGTCTTCTCCTTTTATATATTTGCCTGCGTTTGATAATGTTCTGTAATGTCGACCAGACCTGGACCTCCCACACCTGAAATGTTATCTCTCTTCAAACAATTAGAAAGAAACGATTACCTTCGACTTTAGTGTGAAGGTGTCAATCGGTAATGCATTATCCGATTTAATGTTATTGACCGATATCTCACATCTAATCGATTTAGTGGGTAATTGCTATGCGCTTGTAATAGCTAAGAAACTAAATCGGTGTCAATATCTATTCCTCTCCGGTTTAATGTGTAATGTGTGGTCCTATGAACTTTAAAAAAATAATGTTGAAAAGAGCCCTTTGAAGGTATATTCGAGTCAGAAAAATCTCAGAACTAAATGTGTCCCCTTCAAAATATATTGTATGTCTGGTTTGGTTTTACATTCTGACTGTTATGACAGCAAACCATAATAAGACATGATTATTACAAAGTTATCTGTTGTAGTATCGAATTTCAATTTTTGTCCTTTTATGATCTGAATGCCAGGATTTACTTTTATTACTTTGTTTAGGAATGTCTAATAGTTTTATAGCATTAAAAATATTTGGTTAATCTTCAAACGAGTTAACATAATTTTAAGGTTGTTGTATTGACCGACATTATCGAGCCGTGATTGGTCTACAACGATTCATTTCTACATTTTATAGGACATCCCACTTCAGTATCGGTGTGGAAATCGGGATTGGTGTTGCATTTCTGTGGCCATCAGGCCAAATAAAAAAGTCATAAAACGATGACAGGCTTGGGAACACGGGGTAGTAATGTAGGTCGATATCGGCTGTTTATTTTATTGAGCCGACAACAGCGAAAGCTCCACTACGTTGCACTTATCGTTTATCGACATGTAATGATATAGCGTTACACGCTCGTAAAACGAACTAAAAACTAGTCCGACCTCCGCCGTATTAAGGTCGGGTTGAATTAGTTCTCGCACCGTGTTGAATATTCATTAGGGTGTAAAGGATTCAGTAATTAATAAAGAAACCGACCGAGCGTCAGTAACGAAGGTGTTACGAGCGGACTTCAATCATTCTTCAGCGCCAGTTTGATCGACGTCCCATAACGGTATCCTTTGAAATACAAAGTTCCGTACCCACTCTTCGGCAAAACGACCGCTTTTGTTAAATGGTTTAGAAACGTTAAGTTTGCATT